TATGTCTTGTCATTGCCATATATCCATGCAGCATAGATAACACGGCACTTCTACAAGTTAACTTGTGAGAAACCTGTAACTGCCGCATTGTACAGAACGGTGCGCAAACAATAGAAAAAAAAATCACGTTTTTGCAAATACGACATTCCGTATCGTTCCAGTGACATTTAATTACTTTTTTCCCAAAATATTTTGGTTTATCTTTTAGCTCCTTTCAGCCATGCATGGTTACAATTCCCTCTGGGGTGCATTTTACTCTGTCTAGACGAATATAGATCGTATCGGTGTATCCAAATACGGACAACATCGATTGTCCCGTGTGTGTGATCTGAATTCAGATCGATCGAAAAATATCAAATGGTTCATACGCTTAAACGCATTGTGTAAAACTTTAATTTTTTTTACAACAGTGGAATTGTTTTACTTACACTCTCTATTAAGTATTTTTAAATGTTATGATATATTGTAGCTCCCTTTTTGCCACCCATGTGTCACTAGATTTGCATCGACAGATAGATAGCTGCATAGCTATCTTTCACGCTACATTAAACCTATATCAGAAGGCTAATCGTGCACGCGCGTGTGTGTACGTGTATGTGTGTGCGTGGGTGTGCGTGCAGGTGGCCCCTGGTGCTCGTCCCAGCAGGTGAGGAGCCGAAAGAAGAGAAAACCTTACTCCAAGCCTCAGTTAGCTGAGCTGGAGAGCGAGTTCCTGCTCAACGAATTCATCAACAGGCAGAAGCGCAAAGAGCTGTCGGACAGACTGGAGCTGAGCGACCAGCAGGTGAAAATTTGGTTCCAGAACCGTAGGATGAAGAAGAAGAGACTCATGATGCGGGAGCAAGTCTTTGCTCCTTATTGATGGACTAAAAAAAAAAAAAAAAAGAAAGAAAGAAAGAAAGAAAGAAAGAAAGAAAGAAAGAAAGAAAGAAAGAAAGAAACGCTACATGTCTGGTGGACCACCACAGCAGCGCCACGTCACGTCACGCCACGACTGACTGGCTTGGGCTTTTATTTATAAATCCTGTGTGAAATGCTTGGAATCCCCGTCACGGCAGACATTTCACACTTGGCGGTGGCTGGTTTGGAGGCGCCCCAAACTCCACCGTGACCATTTCAACTATGATGTGCGTTTTTCCCCTCTCTGTCTTGTGTGTGTCGAGAAGCTCAAGTTCACGTTGACGCCCATTTGATTAGACGTATTACACATATGCATGCTTGTCTATTATTTGATTCGATCCATTTTATTGTAAATAAATACGCTTTTTGTTCCCCTAACTACGCTTTGGGAATATGAAGAGTGATGATGGTCACTGCTGGAATGTGAATTATTTCCAAGTTTGAAGAACCTTAGCCTAATAGCTTCGCTGCCTAAGTCATGTTTAAAAACGTTTTCAGGAATCAAAGAGAACGGAACATATTCAATAAACAAGTAGTGTCCAAGTTGCCTTGATGACTTAGAATCCAGTGACAAAAAAATAATAAATAAAATTGGCGCGTAATGCCGTTAGCTTACTAGCATAGTTCCCTATGACGTCGATGAACGCTTCCTCAAAACGAAAAAGAGGGGAAAACATTTTGAGCAAGCACACTTCTAGCAGTTTATCCATATTAAAAACATATTTTTTTTTTTGCTTGCTGGATTAGTTTTTTTTCCTCCCTCTGTTTTTGACTTCACCTATGCTATTGGGCTAACAAATATGGGCCCTAAGTGTAAAACGAGTTTGGCAATGAAGGTATGAAGCTAACGATATCAAGAAAAACAAAATGCTTGCTGTTTTTTTTTTTTCTCATTTTCTGAAAATATCCAGATATGACTGAGAGGCTACGATGCTATTAGGCTAATGATATCGTGGTAACGAGTTCAAGTTTATTTAGGCGGTTGTGCTGTTAAGCTAATGATACGGAATTGGTCGGATATTGTAAATAAACAGCGATTTCTGACGGAAATGCATTTTTAGTACTTGTCCATGACATGTAGAATTAAAAGTAATTATTATATTTACGCAATACCATTTTTTAAAGAAATACCTCTCTTGTTGGCCAACCTGTTTCCATACGCTTTATCCAATTAATGGACACGTTTAACAAAATAGGATTGTATCGAGCAGGATGACGTCATGTTGTTTATAATAAATACTAGTAGCTATCAAGTATTCACTTTTGAGTGTTTGAAAGTCTGTTTCCTCATTTTTCGTATTTTTGTTTTGAGGGGGAGGAAAACTATACGGCAGCTGTTACTGTTACTAAACTATCTTTTATACAACTTCCACAAAACAACGGGCCAGTGAGCAACTCGTGTCACTTTCAAGGAAAATCAGAGCTTTTGTTTTGAACAACAGTACGCTACCCTACACACACACTCTCACAGCACACACATGCAAATACATACACACCCATTCACTCACTCAATCTCTCTCTCTCTCTCACACACAGACACATGTCTTCACTCACACGCACACACAAATTGAAGGTGACTATAGCTGCATTTAGGTAAGTAAGGCAGTTTTATTATTGGAGGCACTCACAAAATGCTTCACATCGTTAAAATACAGTTTACAGGATTACAGCATTTTAAATTGAACAGATGATGGTAGAAAAAAAATCTATGCATTCAAAATGAATAAAATTAAACAGTCTGACTGGATTTTGGTTTTAACCGCTTTCCATTGCCCATACCAATAAACTGGACGAGCAGATCTTATTTTAAGGATAGAGTTTATTCGAGCCCCAGACATGAGAAATTCGTGGGTGCGAATAAGGGTTAATTTCATGTGTAAAGTCACAATACAAACATGCAACTTCTAGCATTAGAATTGATTCCAAATTGCAGACTGATACACATTCAGGTCACTATAATTCCATTATCATTCAACAACGGAATTGAATAGCCTGGCTTGAAACACTCTTGAGCATGCTGGGTTTGAATTTGTTCTTCAAAATACATTATTCTTCCAATATCTGATTTAAAATGCGTGGTAACACGTCCTCACCGCGGTATTGCCCTCTGGAAGATAACTAAGACCTCAAACGATGCATCTTTTTTTGTGTGTGTTTTTTTTCTGGTGACTTTTTACTGCTGCTGCAAAGGCTCGCTTCCTCTGTGCGACGTTTCCGCCCCCCATTTTGTGACTTTATTGCTTTATTGCGGCAAAACGCGGCCAGACAGCGTCATTTAGCTCAGGGCCCTAAAGACAGTGGGGGTGCCAAAACAAAGTTAAGGTCAAGTTAGTGGACTGAGCATTCCAGCTTCCCACGCATTCTCATTTTTGCGGTGTCCTAACATCTATCTATCTATCTATCTATCTATCTATCTATCTATCTATCTATCTATCTATCTATCTATCTATCTCTCTCTCTCTCTCTCTATATATATATATATATATATAGAGAGAGAGAGAGAGAGA